GATTAAAGTGAGTGTTTTGAGGGATTTATTGAGTAGATTATCTTTTACACAAGTTGAGTATTCAAATCTAAGTTATTGAGAAAGAAACCATTCGATTATAGGTGAATTAGGAACGAAAAAGAGTAAGAAAAAAGCCGGGGAGGATTTAAGGAACAGCTCCGCGTAGCAGACTTGCTCCCCCAGTGAGGAATTTCACTCTACGCATCGCATAGAGAATGCATACTCTACTGTTTCAAAAATTATTTCACGACTAAGTATTATAAGTCATCTCCGCGTCGCGGACTTGCTCCCCCGGCAGTGTTTTTCAACCGTTTCTCATGATTAACTATCTAAATCATTTAATCATTACGATATCCTTCCTATCACAAATCATAACCTTGAATTCATAATTCAAATTCAAGGTAGAGTTAAGAGTTATGTTTTGAGAGTTCTTATGAACATTTTGTGAAAGTCCATTTGAGTCTTTTTGAGGAGTCTTCTACAATTTCTAATAAGTTGTTTCAAGACTCGAGCAAGTGAGTATGAGAATGAGGAGAATGTATTCATGAGTCTACTTTATCATTACGAGATCCTTCGTATCATGAACCATTACTCTTGAATTCATAATTCATATTCAAGAGAGTGTTAAGAGTAGAGTTCAAGAAAGTCTTTGAGTTCAATTGTGAATCATTTGAGATCAACTATCGATTTAACTAAGTTTTGAGGAAGTAAGGATGAGAATGAGAAGATTCGTATACATGAGTTCCATAATATTCTTTAGACCTTTGAGTCGAGTCGTTCATGCTCATAAATTTCGCATAAACTCCATACATTGAGTGTTTTCGAGAGGAGTAGGATCTCCGAGTTCTAAATTTTTGAACATTGAGTTCCTAATCCTTTTGATATTATATTCCTACTTATGGGACTACTACATGTTACCCATGAAGTCCTTGTGTTGAGTTGTTCATGCTCATAATTCTGCGTGAACCCTATTAGTTGAGCAGTCTAGAGATGAGTAGTATCATTGAGTCTTGAGTTTTGAGTACAGAGGTTCTTTATTGCCATTAAGATCCCTGAGTTGAGTCATTCATGTTCATAATTCCACATGAACCCTATGATTTGAGTTATAAATTTTAAAAAGCTTTTTAAAGTCAACACTTGAGTTCTTAAACTGAGTTTTGAGAAGGTAAAGATGAGTTTTGAGAAAAGTTTTCTAAAACACGATTAGTATGAAAATTGAGTATGCCATCAATGTATGAGCAGTATGGTATCTAGATATACCATCATGATTATGCAGTATGACTTCCCGAGTCATCAATGATCATATTATAATATGATTTTGAAATATTTTTGAGAAAAAATAGAGTTGAGTTCATTTTCTTTAAAATGATATATGAGAACTAAGTATTCACAAGAGTAAATGTTTTCATATTTAAGATGAGAGGAAACTGGGATTTCCAAAAGAGTTTTGAGCAGTTTAAGTACCTTCTCTAAGATTTTTGAGTAATAATCTCAAACCACAGAAAGAGTTATGTTTATAAACATATGAGCTAGTTACATTTTGGGAGTAGTATTGAACATCGATATGGGGACGAGTTCAGATGACTCAAAGTCTCCATAAACCATGTAGCCAACATAGGTAGAAAGGGTCATACTTTTTAGATGATTCCTTAATGTTGTTAGCATAGACTAGTGGATCCACTTAGTAGTAGGTTCAATACCCTGACAAAGTATAGGACGACCCTAGCAGCGTGAGACAAGATATTGTATCATCACATAGCTCATAATGATGGTTGTCGGTTAGAGAAACTTGCACAACGATATTTTGTATTCTTATATACACATAATTTACCTTGTATTTCCATATACAAGCAGAGTTTATATTGTATCTTTGCATACAAACTGAGTTGTTTTCTACTATTTTAAAAGCTTTCCATATATTGCATATTTATTGTTGCTATATATTGAGTTGAGTATCCAGAGTTGAGTATCTAGAATTGAGTACCTAGAGTCGAGTATCTTATTATTGAGTTGAGCCTTATTTCACTGAGTTAAATATCCTATCATCAAGTTAAGCCTTATTTCATTGAGTTGAATATCTTATCATTGAGTTGAACTATGTTTCTTTGAGTTGAATTGAGTTTAGTGAGTTGAGAAGAGGTAAGTATATTTATTTTCCACCAGTTCATGCTCATGTTTATGCTTTAGAATTCCTCTTGCATGCTCGTACATTCCATGTACTGAGCCATTTGACCTGCATCGTTTCATGATGCAGATACAAATATTCAGGGTCACCAACATGAGCTTCGTTGATACCACATGGAGTTCGAGTTAGCTATGGTAAGCCTCCTTGCTTCTGGAGGATTTCATTTACTTTTTAGTTTTGTCAGGATGTCGTGGGTCTTGTACCGACTTCCATCTTTGTCATTTAGAGGCTTCATAGATAGACAATAGAGTTTGAAAAGTCTGTTTCAGTTATCTTATTAAATGTTTTAAAGACTTGAGTTGCCTATTGTTGTCTAGTTGAATATTATATTTATATTCAGAGTAAATCATTTTATTCATTTTTAAGCTTTTGTATGCTTGAGTTAGTATTTTGCTTGTAGTCAGCCAGAATGAGGGTTCACTTAGGGACCAACAATGGTTCTCGAGTGCCGACAACGTCCAGGGTGTAGACTCGGGTCGTGACATTTCCTATCAAAACATCATCTAAATCATTTACGTCAATTTTCATAAAATCATACATATCTTCATAAATTCATAATTTATAGTTCTTAAGTTCATGAGTGCATCATAGGTTCATAATTTAAAATCATGTATCATGTATGAGTCCTTAGAATTTCAACTAAATTTCATGTAATAATCATTAAATCATTCATTAGAAGGTTTAATCAACAGTAAAATTCATAATTGAAAAAACCTAGATAGAACTTGGATGAACCCTAATTTGATCAATTGAAAATTGAAAACCTTGGGGACCCTATGGAGGAATAGAATTCATGGGGGGAATATCCACATCCGTTATTACTCAAAGCCCAAGATGAGTCATGCATTAATACCCTTGAATGAACCCCAGCTTCTTTTTTCTTCCTTAGGTTGAGAGGAAATATGGTAAAGTTTGGGGTGAATTAAGAGAATGGGTTTAAAATGGGTAGACTTGGGACATAAAGGTTTTATATAGGGCTTAGGGTAGAGGAAAAAAGTGACATAGTATAGGGTTAAAACATTTAGTAAAAACCCCAAAAAACTAACTGCTAAACTCCTCTACGATTTAGACCTACGGTCCATAGAACTTTTTACAGACCATCTTGGTCAACCGTAGAAAATTTCAAAATCCTAATATTATGGATTACTTTTGACGAAACATGTCTAAGGCCCGTAGGACCTCCTATGGTCCGTAGACTCCAACCGTTGAAAACAATATTGACCTCAAAATATCACTAAATCTGGGAACTACCTACGAGACTCAACTACGACTCGTAGATTATTTGATAGATCATCTTGTTCACTCGTTAGTTCAGAGACTTTTTTTTCAAAAAATATTTTCTCCCTTTCTACGAAACTAGTCTATGACCTGTAAAAAGTTCTATGAACCGTAGACTGGTCTCGTAGACCTGAACTAATAGGAAAAATCCCTGCAACCTTTTTCCCTTTTGAAAGTCTAGGTGTTACAAGATGATCAAATTGTCACTTTCAACAAGTCATAAATGATTGGGGGTCAATATAGGAAATCTCTAAAAGACAAAGATAAAACAATACATGAAAAATGACCTAGAGGGTCATTACACTAACTCTCCATGTTAGAATTACCAACACCAATTAATTAAATCAATTTTCTGAAAGTTAATTTATTGACTGACTTAATCATTTATTATTATATTTCACTTATTTCACATGACGAATATAAAACCCATATGTTGGGTTTCACGTGAAAACTTATAAGTAATCATAGAGGGGTGTCTTCTATCTCAAGTCTGAGACATGGTTCTATCACTAATTATTACTTCACTAATTTGATTTATCATCATCCAATCTATTACAAATATATATCATTGAAAAACTACTATCAAACTATTATTTAACTTTTGCATTTTATAAAATATTACATGTCTTATTTTTAAGATTACAAAACTCATATTTTATAAACTCTTACATGTAAGTGTACTTTAAATTACATGATAGTGTAAATAAGACATTATCCAAATGATGAATAAAACCTAAACTCATTGTCACAACTAGCTTAGTGATTGATTCGTTATCTCTCATTTTTCCGACATATCATTTTGTTAGTTCCTCATCACTAATTTATAGAATCAAGATATAGTAAAAAAAATAAAATAATTGAAGTTATGTGCAAGAAATAAGATAATAATTTTAGTTACCTTGTCACATTGGCCATTAGGGCGCCTTCTCTTTTCACATGTCCAGTCGTCCAAGATCATGATATTTTTGATTAAGTCTAAATGGGTCAACTAAATCTTCTCCCTATAATTCGAGTCCATAACAGAGTATTCAGAAAAGTTAACCGTTTCATAATTATGATCAAGCCTTAACTTATTAAATTTATACATAAACAATCTAGAAAAATAAATATACTAACCTTGTTTAGTTTTACAGTATAAATATTAGTTTCACCTGCTAGAGGTACAATTGCAAAGCTAACAGTGGATATGGCTATGACCTCCGCATTAATCAATCTCCTTTCCCAACCAATGCCCCGAACTTATGTTCCAAAAAGGGATACAGTTTGGGGCTCGAAACAACCATAATCAGCAGCATGAAACAAACAACAATTTTAAGCTCATATAAGGACTAGGACAACTTCTAACAACAATTCACCGCAAACAAAGAAAGCCAAACAACTCCATAGCGTAGCCTCAAAATTTCCAAACGCGTGGGACTTTAAATCACCCAATCCGAGATAAAATGAGCAAGAAACCAAAAACTCTGAATGTGTGGGACTTTGAATCACCCAGAAATCTCCTCTTCGTGAACACGGAGGCACCCCACAAATGTGGGCCTCACAAACGTGGCCAAGAGGAAACATGGTCCGCAAACGCGGTAGGGACCTCGCGAATGTGAGCCCTTTGAACGCGGCCAGGACCTTGCAAACGTGGCCACCAGGCTGCCTGGCCTCCGCGAACGTGGTCTAGGGTCTGCGAACGTGAAGGGCATTTTTTCTTGCACCAGTCAAACAGGTTTTTTGGCAAGTTGTAAATCTCCGACAAGATGTTTTGAATTCGTTCAGAATCCCGTGCACACAAACGAGATATGCAACCCTACCAAATTCAATATTTTAGAGTTAACAGAGTAGTTAAAATTCCCATACAAGGTCATTTCAACAAAAAGTAGGTCTCACCCCCAAACTCTATTTTAAGTAAAAATACACAAGGGGGCTCAGAATTAGCCCGAAAGCCTCGGGATCCGAAAGAAGGGTCGTTCTAGGCCAAACTCAATATTTTGGAGCTAATTGTGCTGACGGAATAATCATTGAGCTCGTTCACTCAGAATGTTGACTAAAGTCAAATTTAGTCCTGAACTTGAAAGTTAAAATGCTTAATCACAGAGACTCACATAAAAAGCCTCAGGAGTCATGTCGATCATGTTACTAGCCTAAAATTACCCTTCTAAAGCTGATGAAATCGTCAGAATTGGATTCTGAGGTCATCTTCTTAAACTTTTGATCAAAATGACTGTTTAAAGTTCAAAAGCTCCAAAACATGGAAACTCGCATAAAAACCAAACGAATGACCTGGTGACTGAACTGTCACTCCCAGAAAGCCATAAATGACTTGGAGTCCCTATAGGAACATTCTAAACAATGAACATAAGGTATAACCCAAAAATGACCTGGTTGGTCATTATATTAAAACCCTGAGTTGACTCATATGGCGTATACACTATCGGTGTATATTAGGCATCCTGAACTAGCGTAACAGACAAACTTTAAATAACTAGAGTCAAGGATGGCAAGGCCATAATCAGAGAGCAATGTAGTAGCCAAAAATTCAGCTAACCCAATAGTTTATAAAAAAGCAAGTCTAATGTTATGCGGGACAACAAGACCACTATGCTTTCTATAAAAATCCAAAAAACAAATTATAATCATATACAAGGCCAAACAACGCTAACATGTTGATAATATTGACATAATAGAGTCAACACGACCAACAATGTACTACTACCCAACTCAAGTTTGCATGCCTCTAAGAGTATAGAAACTTGGCATGGACAAGAATCCGACCTACCCATCAACTATATACAACAAAAGAATGCCACAACTCTGAACTTGGAAACTCTGAAAGAAGTAGATCTTATAGAGTAGTTGGAACTCAAGAACACTATTGAGAAAGCTTGTCGAGTTGTGTGTCAAGACTTGCAAGTCTGAAGGTAGTGCCCCCCAGAAAATGTGGCATCAATATGAAATAATTTTCCAAGTATATAAGGCATAGAATAACTTAGGAAGTATCATAATTATTCTGAAGCAATGGAGGAAAGGAGTCAGTAATAAAAATGACATACTTACCTTAGTTTTATAAAAAAAAATTCAATATCTCACAAAGTATTAAGGCCAAAAATTATGATCTACATATCGTCGAAAATGTCTGAACGAGATCTATAAATGCCCTAACGTTTTATGTAAAAATTAGACAGTCATAAATATGAACTAATGCAAGTAAGTTATGGTTTTAAATTATACCCTAAAAATACATTTTGCATATATACTAATCATGTCAATCATCGGAATACGAGCCTATGCCTCTACTACTAATGTACTATTTGAATTAAAAATACTAGTTTAGGAGACTTATTATTAAGAAAGCGATTAAGAAGTAACCATGGCTCATGTCACTGGTCATCGGAAACCTCAAAAAATGAATGAATTTTCTTTGTCCATAGCCTAAATATCCTCGGAAGATGCATACCATTTTTCTCTTTTGGATACCTAAATCTAGTTGTCTATTGCGGTGAAAAAAACTTATTTTATTCTACACTCATAATGGTGTATTACACGAAGGGTTAGGGTTAAGGAGAAAACAAGCTAATGGATTACAAACTAATATTAATATTTCCAATAATATTAAACTTTGTTTTCATACTAATGAAATACATTGAATATTAATTAAAAATTAGTGCATGTTTTTTTACTAGATATAAGAGGAGTTAAATTAGAATATCCAAATAATTGAAGGATAATAAACATTTAATTATTGATGTTATGTATGTAAATGTGAGATACAAGTTAGTCATATGGAAATAGGAATCACTATTCGGATTGGATCCTTATTTGTAATTTTAATTTGCCTAGTAACTTTGTTGAGAGAGTGAGGATCATAAAGTACCACATTGTAGTCTCCAAGAAAACCATCATATCTATAAAGTCCTTCAGAATTTGTTTTTCCATTTTGGTCAGGAGTTCTCCACTCTGCCATGAGCTTGTCTACAATGTCTCCTGCTGGTGTGTTGTTGAAATTGTCATCCATCAAGCACAAACTAGTGCAATTCATTCCTGGCTTCCATGGTGCCCACACTATTATTCCTTCCACTCCTGGATGTGAAAATGCTTCTCTCATGATTTCTTCCAAGTAAAGTGCCTGTTAAGTAGAGTATTATATTAATTAATAGCAGAGGCGTATGCAGAAGGGGGTCACCGGGTTCACGTGAATCCATGCTCCCTCCTGATATGTGTGAACCTTCACTAGACGTATCAAATAATGCAATGATGATCGGGTGCATCTCTCTGAGTGAGGTTGGAAATTTGAATCTTACATCTATCTTGTTGTATTTTTTCTTTCTAAAATTATGTAACATCTCTTTAAGTGGTTATTGGTAGAACTTTATATGTATATATAGCTTTAATCTTTCAAAATTTCAAAGTTTGTCACATTGGAAATTCCTAATTTTTTTAGCATGGTAATTTTTAATATAATTAAACCAAATGTGCATATTAAAACTAGTAATACGGGATGATATAATCAATGGGTTCAGTCGATCTCAATACCTCCAGTGCGAAATATATATACTATTTGAAAAGATAAGAATTAATTTTGGACCTATAGTTTTATAATTTAAATGACTTTCAATGATAAAAATTTAAAATGTCAAATCGATCAAATTTATTTTGTAATAGTGCACCATCATGTCAAAATTTTACATTCATGGGAGGAAACAAGAGAGAATATATACATACCTGATTTGAATTGTTAGGAACATCCATTTCAGTTAACCAAATGGGCATTTGAGTTTCATTGAAAAAATCAAGGACAGCTCGTATGTACGGCATCAATGGTTTTCCCAAACCAAAATGAGCTTGCAGTCCAAATCCTATCGTCAAATCCTCATTTCCTGGATACGATCTGATCTCTCTCCATTTATTTATATACTTATGTGGACCTGCATATACATCTCCCGGAATTTCAAGGCTATTAAACTCATTCAAATATAACGTTGCATTCGGATCTATAACATGAGCTATGTGATAAAACATGCCAGAAGCCTGTGGTCCAATCTTTTCTTCAAAAAACTTGAAGTGTAAGTTCTCATTCACAACATCCCACTCAAAAATATCATTTGAGTAACGTGCCATGATAGACGCGAGACGTCTCACTGCTGTAGCCAAAAGCTCTTTAGGTGTCATATCATGTAACCAATATTGATTCATTTTTGGTTTGTCCCATAGAACAGTATGTCCTCTTATTTCTATCTTATTTTTCTTGAAGAATTGGAACATGGCATCTGGTATTGTGTAGTTTTCGATTCCTCTTCGACTTTCTGTCCAGTACCATTTCATTTGATTTGTGAATACACTTGCAGTAAAACCTTTTTTAAGAAACCATTCTTGGTATTTCTTGTGTTGTAATAGTGTATCAGTAACACCACAACCAATATGGAAATATGGTTTTGTGAACTTAATATTTACTTTCACTCCACGGATTGGTTTTCCTAATTTGTCCTTTATATCTAGCACTATTTTCCTCTTTCTTACCTAAAATAAAATCCAAAATTGAAGGTTCAAATAGAAAGAAGTTAGATGTAAATAGATAAGTAGCTAATGGTAATAAAATACTCCCTCCGTCCACTTTTAATTGTTCTGGCTTCCTTTTTTAGAGTTAAACGATGAAACTTTGACTAACATTTTACGATGTATGACATAAAAATTGTAATCTATAATACTTTTCGTATAGTTTTTGAATATATGAATTTTTTATTTAAAATATCAAATTAAAAATTAGTAAAATTGACTTTTGAAAAATGTAACGTGATAATTAAAAGTGGATGGATGGAGTAAGAAGAGAGTATTATATAACTTACCCTTGTTATGGCTCTCTGTTGGTGTTGAAGCCATTCGGTTTTGTTGAACTCTTTTAAGGAAACATTATCCACCCAAAAGTCAACTGTCTTATTGTAACACTGGACGATAATTAATAACAAAAAAAATATTACATATCAATAACAATTATATGCAGAGGTGAAACATTCATTATGATCCCTAATTTGTTTATAGTGTACTCCATGTTACAAAAATTGCAAAAACAAGTATGTGGGTTAAGCAGCGTACGGGTGTCGAACGACACCCCTACGCCGGAAAATTATATGAGGTTAAATTTTAGTTTTTTTAAAAATAAAAATAATTATATATATATATATATATATATATATATATATATATATATATATATATTGACACCTCTTGACACAAGTGAAAAGTTTAGTCTAGTGGTTATGGGGTTGCAAAAATTTAATTGCGTGTTCAAGCCGTCCGCCACCGGGTGGGACAAAATATCATTCTAAACTTTCAATGGATGAACCGAAACTTATATAGTTTTTGTTAGTTTCTCAAGAGAGATTATATATATATATAAATGTTTTTTTTCGAAGTTAACCACCTATCTATGCGGGTCCACCTCTGAGTTTAGTTGTATATTTTAGGAACTAGGTTAAAGCTCTAGAAATTAAAGAAACCATTACTAATTAATTCATGTTTCATATAAAGAAATTACTTATGTTAGTCATTTGATGGTATATTTTTTTTTTAATCCTCAATATAATGTATAAAAGTTAAGACTTTAAAAAGAACAAGTGAGCTAACTTCTAGCAAATAGATATTTTAATGATAAAAATGAAACACTTAAAAACAATATAAATGTAATTATGGACTTACTACAAAATACAACTCTGTTGGAAGAGGAAATTCTGGTTGAAAGCCTCCTTTAAGCATGGTCCAACAACCAGGATAAGCATTTCCAGAGGCAATAACTCTCTTTGAATTTTCTTTAGTTATTATTGCAGCAGACACTGTTGTCTCACTTCCTTCACTAACTCTAACCCAAGCTACCGGAGAAAAAACAATCGTAAAAAAAATTCACAATAACCAACCAACCAAATAACGTATATGTAAATTGTAGATTAATGAATAAATACCTGAAAATGTATAATAATACCCTTTCTCCATGAAATTTTTTTGAGAAAAAGTTGCATTATACTCATTCCTATTATAGGCAACCATAAAGTTGTTTCTTGAGAAAGATTTTCTAATTTCAATTTTGGCACCTCCCATACCTTCCCACCCATGCAATCCTAGGTCAAATTTTGGGTTTATCAACTTTCCTCCTTTATATTGAACATGTTGAGGTTCAGCCAAGCACTGATAATATCATGAAAAAAATAATATATTTAATAAGGTTAGTACCTTTAATATATATGTTACATTTAAAAATTAACAAAAATAGAAGTATAAGTTGTTACTTCAATACTAGCTTTGTAATTATAAGCCACTCCGTCTACTCCATGTCCTAAAGGAAACAACAACAAAATTAGTAAGAAACACAATAACACGTAAGTTGTCGGTCAGTTGGACCAATTCCTATCATCAGCTTCCTTCATCTTCAACAATCAATCCGTAACTAACAATTAAATATGAATGTGAAGGTTGAAAAGGGGCTAGGGACATAAAAAGGAGTTGTATAAATTATTTTTAATTATTAATTTCCTTTAAAAAACTAATAATACCAAAATGGTTAATAGGAAAATAAAGAAAGAAGGGTACTACACCGGAAAAAAGTAGGAGGCAACACAAAATTACTCCATATGCACAAGAAATTACTATCATAAGTAAAAGATCCTGAAAAATAATTAAGTGAAATTAACATCAATAAAAGAAGAAAAATCAAGAAGAATATTAAGCGTTGGAATATATATTATTACCATCTCAATTGAGAGAAATTATCTTTTTCTGTTTTGTAAAAAGCTCTTTTGCAAGGGACATGAGATTCAAGTCCTACATTTAATTCACCAACAAGTTTGAATAAATCCCAAGAGTCAAGTAGTAACTTATATTTGGCAAACACAAAATAAAAAGAGTAATTAAGTTCTAATTAATTCATCCTAAGTAATTAACTACATACGTTAATTTTCTTAATTAACTTCTATGTATTTAACCATCTCATATTCTCCTTTTTATAATATGGTGGTAAAAGTCATAACGCCACCTATATTGGTATCATAAGGCATGGAGGGGATGTTCACATGAAAGGATCCTCTCCATTACTATTTTGTTCATTACTTCTCAATGGTGTAGTGAATGTAGACTACGTGCACAAAATAAATATTTAAGGTTACGATCATTTTTCTTGTTAGTTCTACAACGATCCTTTTATTTATTTATTTACTATTACACTAAATAACATCATGGAATTCTAAGATAAATTGTTTTTAACCATAGAGGCTTGGATCATTTTGTAATATTCCTTCAAGATAATTTGCTTCAACATTGTATATATATGTTTCTTCTTCTTTTCTCCATAAAAGTACATTTAATCTTGTGTTCTTATGTGAATTAATGTCAAGAATCCAAAAATTCATATTTTTTTCTTATGTTTACTTTTTAAAATAATATTAAAAAGTTAACAAAAATATAAATAAAATTGAAGGAGTATTAAAACATATAAGTAATTTGGATTTAATATTATTTAGAGTAAGAATATTATATTTTAAAGAATAACCAAAAAAAAATGATCCTAGTCTCTAATATTCATTTTGTACATGTGGCCTACATCCACTGTATCATTGAGAAGTAATGCACATAATAATAATGGAAGAGGTTCTTTCCAAGAGGAATAAAAGCCTCGTACAATAACTATAACACTCGAGTTATAATCTTTGCATTTAGGGAATGTTTGGTATGAAGGAAAATGTTTTTCATGAAATTTCTTTTCTTAGAAAATGTTTTCCTGGAAAATAAGTAGATTTTTGACTTATTTTCTCATGTTTGGTTGGTGAGTAGAAAATATTTTTAGTGTTTGATTTATGAATGAAAAATGTTTTTGAGAAATATCTTTTATTTTTATTAGAGTAGAAAATAATTTTTGAAATTGAAAATATTTTTTAGAAACAAACTTAAATTTTTTTAGGGGGAGGGGCTGGGAGGAGGGGTCGAGGTTGGGGGTGAAAATAAAAATTTGAAGTTGAAAATATTATTTAAAAACAAACTTAAATTTTTTTTGGGGGTGGGGGGTCGAGGGTAGGGGTGAAAAAAATGAAATTTTGAAGTTGAAAATATTTTAAAAACAATTTAAATTTTTTTGGGAGGTGGGGGGCTGGGAGGGGGGGTGGGTGGGTGGGGGGGGGGGTCGAGGGTAAGGTGAAAAAATGAAATTTTGCAGTTGAAAATATTTTTTTAAAATAAACTCAATTTTTTTGGGGGGTGGTGGGGTTCGAGGATCCGGTGAAAAAATAAAATTTTGAAGTTGAAAATATTTTTTAAAAATAAACTTAATTTTTTATGGGGGGGGGGGGAATGGGGGAGGGAGGGTTGAAGGTAGGGGTGAAAAAATAATAATTTGAAGTAGAAAATATTTTTTTAAAATAAACTTAAATATATTTTTTGAGGGGTTGGGGGGCTGGTAGGGGGCTGTGGTAGGGGGCTGGGGGTAGGGGTGAGGGTGGGGTAAAAAAATTGAAGCTAAAAATATTTTTTAAAAACAAGCTTTAATTTTTTTTTTGGGCGGTGGGGTGGTTGGGGGTGGGGGTGGTTTGAGGGTAGGGACAAAATAAATTGATTTTTTCAAAAAAAATAATTGTAATTTGAAGTTGGAAGAGAGTTTTGAAAAATGTTTTCCTTAAATTTTTAAGGGAAGTGATTTTCCTTAAATTTGAGTAAAATAAGTTGATTCGGAAAACATTTTTTAAAACATTTAACCCAACCAAACATGAGAAAATTGGAAAACATTTTCTAGAAAATGTTTTCTTTCATACCAAACACACCCTTAGTCTTTATCGGAGAAATGATCAAAATTGTCCTTTATGTTTGAATTAAGAATCAAAGTAATCCTTGTGTTTAACATGGAGCATTAATAGTCCTCCATGTTTTAACAATTGGTAAACTTTTAATACTCTTACAAACAACAGTCTAAATTTTAACGGGGCTTCTCTTTTGCACTTGAGAAAGGTTTCCACCATTGTCAACTAAATCTTCCCTTTCTTTTCCCTCAGATAGTAGCTATCCATAATTTCACAAGTTCGGTTACCTTATGAAACAAATAAAATCAAAATCAAAAGACTGATATTTGGAGAAGTTTAGTTACATCTGTTGTTTTTGAAGAATATATTATTTCCTTTTTATTTTTTGTGTATCTCCATTCAATGGAAGTCCGCGGCAAGAGTAATTTTTTTTTTTTTATGAATGCAAAGCAGTATTTATCGTCATCGAGTCTTCTTCGATGTTCTTTGCAATAGATTGTTTAGACTCGAGGAGGATGCTATGCATATTGGTGTCTTGTATCTGAAAGAAAGTTTCTTGCACAAAAGGTGCTCGATCAATTGTCTCAGTTATCATTTAGCCTTAGTCCATTCCACTTGCTCCAATTATGACGAATACATTTTAAATATTAGTAAGCTCGAAGAAGCACAGGAGAATTTTGAGAAACATGGAAGTTGAAGAGAAAAAGATTGAGTAAAATTTAATATTCTATCTTTCTTGTTTGCGATGTAATTGGTAAGCTCGAAGAAGCATATACTTCTGTCATAGTATAGAAAAATGTATTTTTTTTTTGCGATGTAATGAAATTGATACATAGTATATGTGTTGATGGTGCAAATATACTATACATTCTAAAGATAAAGTATTACACATTGACCAATATAATTTGAAGATGAAATGTACATTTCTTCACTATGATGCGAATAGAATTAAAGCTACTTAGGACAAAACATATTTCATGATAAGTATTTCAATTCATAAAATGCCGAGTCTCTTGTATATACCAACACCAAAAGAATCAAAACTACATCAGATTTTCACTAGAACAACATTAAAATTTTAGCAAAATTTTACCAAAACTACAACAGAGCACCAACAATGTTTCAAAACAACACCAAAAGTTTATCAAAATAACATTAGAATTGCACCTAAACAACACTGACAATGTACCAAAAGAGTTGGACTATATTCACACTAATACAACACTGTGGTTGCATCAACATAACAACAGAAAAGATCCAAAATTGCACTAGAAATGTATCAAAACAACATTAGAATTACACCAGAAGAGCAACATCAGAATAGCCTCTAAATCAGCATTAGACTTGCACCAACACCACCATAAAAAAGCACCAAAACTGCACCAGAAACAACAATAGAAAATCACTATAACAGAACCAAAACAGCTCCAAAACTACATGAGAAAAGCATCAAGAATAGATCCCAAAATTGCACCAAAACAGCAACACCATATTTGCACTAAAACAACAAAAAAATTGCACCAAAACAGCACATATTCGCATAGAAACTACACCAAAAAAGAAAAGAAACTGAAAAGCAATAGAAAAATATAATTTCAACTTGAAAAACACACAATGATCTTTTTTTTTTTTAAATGTATTTTTTTATAATGTAACTCCACTTTGTTGGGTTTGTTGTGAATTTTCCTAAGAAGAATTTATTTCTTCGCCTTGTCCTACTTCTCCCTGTTTTATATTTTCTTGTTGAACTTTAGAACATCTTTGTATAATCGTGTGTGTAATATATATTAAAGGATGAAATAATTCAAAAATGATGTTAACAGATAATCCAGGTAGTTTATGACGAACATAAGAAGTAGTTTCCGGCTGCACATCTTTAATTTTGCAAGTCTTTTTGTCTTGATAAGACTTGTGACAAGTATTACAATCTAGAGATATTTTTTATTTTCATCGTTGTTCGACTTGCTCCTATTTCATCAACTTCATTTCTTCTGTTATTTTGCTTTCTTCCTCTCTTTGTATTTGTCAAACTCCTTGGAGGCAACAGAGGAATTTTGTTAGATTTTGGCCACATTTGTGGGTCTTTTATCAGAAAAAATGCATTTTCATATATTTTTCGATACGTTTCCACCTTGTAGTAATCATGGACATAATCAACAGTGTCTTTTCAATTAGCACAAATAGCTGCAATTGCGTGCTTGTATGGGACTCCATTGCCCAATTATCCATGATACTAACTTATATAATTTCATAAATCCATTGATTTGACTTTCTAAGTATATATTCTCCAGCTGCTTTCTAATTTTTAAGCAATATATC